TTTAGGATCTCAAAATCCACTTCCGTTTGGGATCCAACATTCTCGCTGGCACTCGTTCCTCTCTCCAATGATGTAGGGTCTCACAATTGGGTAATTCTCAAAGTAACCATCTAGTACAAGGGAAAGGGGTCCTTCACGTCTCATGAGACATGACTACGTCATATGTTTATCTTGAATTATTTCTTAGAGTGAAGGTTATCTTCACAAACCAACACATATTCTTTTAGTACGTTGAGGAGGTCAACAACATAGAATTACTCTAAGCCAAGTACGCTTAGTTTTGAAGTTTTTATGATTAAACTACCGAAAACGAAGGTGCATCTTGTTTGCATATATAGTAACTTTAAATTCTTTTACATATATCTTATCTCCAAAATATATATACAACCCTAATTTGTGAGTCAAACATTTCCTAACAATTAGCTAAACTAATTAAATATTTTACTAATTCTATCTTTTTAACTTAAAAAAATTTATCCGAAATTTAAGCGACACGATATTAGGTATTATCGCACACATGATAATATTCTTGAAAAAGAAATCGAATTATATTTGCACATTCTATATTACTCAACGATCGTAGATCATAGATCAAATCTAAGAACACTAATATAAAATCTCATTTATTGATCATTAGGAGGTAGGCTTTTATTGATGAAGATGAATTAATTGAATATATGTACCAAAAGTCTCTTCAAACTCAGAATATATGAAAAAAATTCCTAGGGTTTATTTATTCAAAAAGGGTATGATAAAGCATTAAGAGTCCAAATCATTTGATGAGCGACCAACCTTTTGAAAATAGAATCTTATTTCTAATGGGGTTTTCGGTTTAAGAAATGAAAATGGAATCCTATTTCTAGGCCTTCTAAAACTCGATTTTAGGAACCTCGTCATCTAATCTAACTGTTCCTGAACTCGTCCCTAAGCCTGAGGCCACTCACCAAGAAGATTCGCCAAAACGTAGTGGTTGCTTCTTGGCCACGCTCCCTGCAACTAGGTACAAGATATTTGATTTAAATTCTCAAAATAGTACCTATTGTCGATATTAATTATGAGTAGCAGCCAAAAATTTGTATCCATTTTTTCGTGATATTATGCATGGATCAGGTTATATCATGGTGAATTCTCGATCTCAGTATTCCATTGTCTCTTCCTTTCGGTCGAGCAACGCAAATGAACCGAGAAAGAGGTGGGTTTTGATCTATTAGACTATTACATCTAAACCCGTGGGTTTGTTTAGGGTTTGTTCATTTTGATTGACGACAACCAGCTGACAGACAATGAAAAATAAGTTCCAACCACTTGGCAACACTTTATTAATAAGTAGTGAGTGAAATGATTCGTTTTTGAAACTCCAAAATGAAGATTTGAACACTTTTTGATGAACCAGTAGAAACTTGGACAACATAAAGCATAGGACAGAGAAACATGATCACAGGTATTTCGCTTTGAGTATAATTAGGTAAGGATAGATGCTGAGCTTTAAACACAAGTATTGTGAATTTTATGACTTTTTATTTTTATTTTTATTTTTATGTTTACAAATATACGGATTAAAAATATAATTTAAGTTGTTGCTTTTCGAGTTTTTTTTTAGTTTTTGAAATTTTAGAAGTATCAAAATTGGGATGAAAAACAATTGGATAGGAGTTAAAATGGACAAAAAGACAGACCACTCTTCTCATAAAGCTGGTCGTAGTGTCCAGGTCCGAGCCACTATTTACCAAAAACACAGGTCTTCACTTAATGCATTCTTCCTCGCCGTGTTGCCTTCAATTTTTGTATCTTTTTCTATATAACTCAATTTAATTTGGATTTTTTCATGAATTTAGGGTTTAACCCAACTATCCAACCAAATTAGTTTCATTCTATTTTATTAATCACGTAGAGAAATAAACAGAGTTTAAAGTAGGCTCAAAATTCATAAATTTATCGTTCATGAGGATGGTCAGAACTCACATCCAAATTCCTTCATGAAAGTTGAGCAAAATTACTCTCTAAATCATTATAGAGATGCCGAGCCTAGAGAAACTTGTAGATTCAAAAAAAAAACTAAAAACTCTAAATCTTTACCCAAGTTCTTCCTTGTTTCTCGATAGATTTGAACGATTCAAGTGTGTAGATTGAACCAAACTTTAATTTCTTGATACATTTGAACAATTCAAGTGTGTAGATTGAACCGAACTTTAAGCAAGTTAAGAAACGTTAGGAAATGATTCTAGGTGGTTTAACCGCTACCTTCTATCTACATCGTTTTATTCTCTCTCCCATTTTTCTTTCATCTTTGTTTTTACCTTTTTTCTAATTTCATGTAAGTTTTATAAGCATTAATAAAATTTCATAAATTAAAATTTTATAAAAAGTTAGGAAAAATTAATTCTTAATATTATAAATTATAAATGAATTCTCCAACCCCATCACACATTGAAAGATTGTGTTTCTTTTGAATAAGTTTATAAATTTAGAGATAAAAAAGTTAAAAGTAGAAATAGACATTACAGGAATAGAGGTTTTTTTTTTTTTTTTTTTTTTTTTTTTTTTTTTTTTTTTTTTTTTTTTTTTTTTTTTTTTTTT